CCACCTGCCCTCCCCCACTGTTAGGGATGATAGATTAACCCAGCCACCCCCCCCCCCCCCAGGCTCCGTCAAAATTGGATCGCTGTCCTGTATTTAACGTAATTATGGAGTCTTCAACTATCACTTGCTAACACCAATTAGGCCTGGGGTGTTAACTCAGACACCACCGGTATCACCAATGTGATCACCAGTGAGATAACACCACTACTGGGATCACCACCGTAATTTACTATTGGTATCACCACTTTAGTCACCATTGGGATCACCACTGTAATCAACATTGGTGTCACCACTGGTATCACCACTGTAATCAACATTGGTTTCACCACTGGTATCACCACTGTAATCAACATTGGTGTCACCACTGGGATCACCACTGTAATCAACATTGGTGTCACCACTGGTATCACCACTGTAATCAACATTGGTGTCACCACTGGGATCACCACTGTAATCAACATTGGTGTCACCACTGGGATCACCACTGTAATCAACATTGGTGTCACCACTGGGATCACCACTGTAATCAACATTGGTGTCACCACTGGGATCACCACTGTAATCAACATTGGTGTCACCACTGGGATCACCACTGTAATTGCATTTGCAGTAGTCGACACTTGGATCACCTCTAAAATTAGACATTGATCGCCACCATAATTACTACTTGGATCACCTTTGAGATCACCACTTGGATCACCACACGGATCCCTATTACCATTGCATAAGTCTGTCCCAACCAACACCACTCAAGGCTGAAATGCTCTGTGACTTATCACCACGGCGGATGTTTTATAATTCTAAAAAGGAAGAAATTCAGCTTTTTATAAATCTATGCAATGTCGGGTACTCGATAAAAGCTGGTTCAGCTCAAGACGCCCAGTTTATTAAATTTGACATTATTCTGGTTTAATCTTTCAGCCTAAATCAGCAGATTTTGATAAATGTAACGCTCTACTGCAACCCTCAATAAGATTTGAGTCAGAAAATTCTAAAATGAGATCCCAACTTTATGGAAAACACGAATGTTTTGTTATCGTTTTTTGCTAGTCATGACAGGTGACACGTTTCGTTCTTTGCTTTAGCTGTCTTTTATTAATTTCTTTTCAGCTTTATTCCTTAATCTAAACATATGGTAGGAATGAAGATAATCTTGTTTGCGATTTAGTTATTTATTTTTAACACTTTTTTATGTCTCTTTTTACTTTCTCGTATATACGTAGTATAGAGAAAGTATTGTAATCGTGCAAAAAAAAAAAAATCGAGATTTTTACAAATCTCGACGTTTTACACCTCACTGATACGGAAAAACATAATTTTGCAATCTTGTCCGTATGTCTGTGTGTGTGTGTGTCTGTGTGTGTGTCTGTGTGTCTGTGTGTAAACACGATAACTTGAGTACCGTTACAGCTAGGTTGATGAAATTTCATATATAAGTAATATATCAAAATCGTAGATCCGTATCAATTTTTGAGCGATTTCCGACAACCGGAAGTGGTACTTTTTCTACTTTGAATTTTTCAAAAGCCTATAACTTGAGTACTATTTCAGATAGATAAATGAAATTTCACATGTAAGTAAAAGATCTAATTCTCTACCTTCTGTTAAATTTTGAGTAATTTCCGTTGACCGGAAGTAGTAATTTACGCTACTTCCAATTTATCAAAAAAACTAATGTAAATTTTTAAAGTACTAATACTATTGCGCACTATTATACACACCTTTATTAGGCGTTCGCTTGGTGCGCAATTGTTTTTTACTGAGATTTTATTCTATTTTTAAAAGTTTCAGTATTTAAAATGGATTAAAAATCATAACTATATCCCCAGTTACCATCCCCTGTTGTTTTATATAAGAATATTCGAGAAAGTTTAGGGGAGATCACTCCCGGTTTATTTCTTTAGTAGTTGATTTTCTCTTTTGTTCATAGAACGTGATTTTTTTAAAAAAAGTACTGTTTTCTGCTTACACTTCTGCTGTATGTTTAGTTTACTCTCTACACCTGTTTCTTGTCTAAGTCATCTTTACGGGCACTACAATAATTTCCTTGAATAAACACCAGATAATTATTTATGTTTACACAAAACAGTTCGCTTGAACCAAATCAGCATTCTAGAATTAATTTTTCAATTTTAAAAAATTCCAATGTCGTAAAGTATTCCGTTTATTCGAATATTTCGTGAACAACCTGCGCCATTTTTTATTTAGTCAAACATTCCCTTGTTCAACTTTAAGTAAAATCAAATCAACCGGAAGACGCCTCCAACGAAGTCTCCATAAGCAGACAACCGAAACAGTGTACACAGGGGCGCAACTCCTGTGGCTTGTCAAACAAGGGGCGGACAACTCGTGTCTATAATCCCGTAATGAGACCTCTTGCAACAACACACTGGGCTCGTGAATGGCTGCGATACACTGAAGACGGTCGCGGCGAGGCGCAGGGAATATTCAGGCTTGCCGCTCTATGCAAGAAACTTGAGGTTCTCAACAGGGGTAGCAGATGCTGGGAGGTCGAGACTCGATTAATTCACTGTCTAGTCGAAACTGTATTGTCATATTATTTTTTTTACATTTAAAAAAAAACAACAACGTTCTTTCTTTAAAAAATTTTTTACGAAGCTTTAAATTTTAAATTTGCTGCCTTTTTTTTAGTTTTCATTCTCTTAAAAATAGTAAAGTGGATTAGACTGTCTTTTATGTAGAAAAATAAGTTTGAACATATTTCTCTGTGTCAAGTAAATTAAAGAGGGATAAAGATTATAAGATCTAGTGAATATATAACCGCTGACCACAGACACACTGACCACAGAACCAGTGACCTACTGACCAACTGACCACAGACAAAGTGACCCACTGACCTACAGACCCACTGACCTATAGACCCACAGACTCACTGACCCACTTATCCACTGACTCACTGACCCACAGACACACAGACTCGCTGACCACTGACCCACAGATCCACAGACTCACTGACCACTGACCCACAGACTCACTGACCCACAGACTCACAGACCCACTGACCACTGACCCACAGACTCACTGACCCACAGACTCAGTGACCCACAGACTCACTGACCCACAGACTCACTGACCCACAGATCCACAGACTCACTGACCCACTGACCCACAGATCCACAGACTCACTGACCCACTGACCCACTGACCCACTGACCCACAGACTCACTGACCCACAGACCCACAGACCCACAGACTCACTGACCCACAGACTCACTGACCCACAGACTCACTGACCCACATACTCACTGATCCACATACTGACCCACTGACCACAAGATGACCCAACTCACCATGTTTTCCCCTATACCTGACAACAACATTTTAAAACCATCTCTGTATTTACCTAGCTGGGAAAGGAGGGGGGGGGGGGTGATTAAAAAACTAGCTGTATTTGCATGGGAGGGGCTACAGACATTCTAATGTATACGTAGTATCTACTGAACACACACGTAACACTAGACTTGGCTATTACCTGCCGTCTCAACCACCACCTACATAGTAATTAAACATAATTATACGGTACTAAAAGGGGAAGTAATTACACTCATGAGTTAAATGCGAAAGCATGCATGCGTGACAGTTTTATTCCATCGTGGAAACATCGCCCCCCACCCCCTCCACCTCCCCTACCCCGCCACATCAAGATTCACTAAAATTTGTCTCTGATCGATATTGGTTATTGGGGTAATTTAAACCCCCACCATAACCAAGAGTTACATGAAGGACGTCCTCAGAGAAACTCTACCGTAGGTATACCGTAAAACCCTAACTTGGAGCGCGCTGGCCACAAACACTTACCGTAAAACCCTAACTAGGAGCGATGACCACAAACACTTACCGTAAAACCCTAACTAGGAGCGCGCAGGCCAGAAACACTTACCGTAAAACCCTAACTAGGAGCGCGCTGGCCACAAACACTTACCGTAAAACCATAACTAGGAGCGCGCTACAACCCCAATTCCGATTGCCAGGAACAATCAATCTTGAAGCAAACATTCCCCAAATACTTTACACATTTTCTACACCATGACGTTGTTTTTTACGTCTAGCCAATCAACTGTAATTAGTTTGGTGCTAATTATTGACAACTTAATTATATTGACCAGGAAATCTGGAGTCTTTCATTCAAGCGTTGAGTCTTTGGGTTTTATTCTATGATTTTTGTTCTTCCCAAAGCCAGCTTCTCAATGCTAAAGAAAACTTTTAAACTTCATTCTGTGTGGTAAATATATAAAGTAATTTAAAAATGAAAAACCAAACTTCACGCTTACACAACACAAACTTCACGCTTACACAACACAAACTTCACGCTTACACAACACAAACTTCACGCTTACACAACACAAACTTCACGCTTACACAACACAAACTTCACGCTTACACAACACAAACTTCACGCTTACACAACACAAACTTCACGCTTACACAACACAAACTTCACGCTTACACAACACAAACTTCACGCTTACACAACACAAACTTCACGCTTACACAACACAAACTTCACGCTTACACAACACAAACTTCACGCTTACACAACACAAACTTCACGCGTACACAACACAAACTTCACGCTTACACAACACAAACTTCACGCGTACACAACACAAACTTCACGCGTACACAACACAAACTTCACGCTTACACAACACAAACTTCACAAAAGTAGTACCGGACAACACGTTTGAAAACTATTCTTTTTTACCAGGAATCAAATTTGGTCAAATGTCGTGTGGGAACAAGTACACACTATTGGAGGGATGTAAATCTTTCCTTACAACAAAGTTTTTTTTAAACAAATTATATTTTTGTTCCAGGGCTTTGTACTAGATCAAACACAAAGTTTTTAAAAACAAATTATATTTTTGTTCCAGAGCTTTGTACAGGATAAAAAAAAATTTAAACAAATTATATTTTTTTTCCAGAGCTTTGTACATCATCAAAAATATTTTTTAAAACAAATTCTACTTTTGTTCCAGAGCTTTGTACAGAATCAAACAACGAGCATGGGAGACGGCGAAGAATTGTTCCAGGACTTCCGGTCTGGTGCCCCGCCAGATGAAGTTGTGTAAGGACAACCTTGACCTTATGCCCACTGTCGTCCATTCGGCCATGGTTTCCATGGAGACGTGTCAAAAACAATTCGCGGACAGGCGCTGGAATTGTAGTTCTATTCTTAAAGTGCCGGCGCTTGCTATGGATTTAGTTCGAGGTAAGTCCTTGAGTTTACTACTTGAATGAGTAGTTTTATTTTAAAAGTCTTAAAGTGCCACAAAAATTTGTATTAGTTCTTCTACACTCAAGGGAGTTTATTAATGTATGTAAAATTTCAATGTACATAGGATTTCATCAATTAACTTAATTATTTTTAACGCTTTATAAACATAAGGTCAAAATCATTACGAACTGACGAATTAGTTTGATTTTTTAAAAAAATAAGCCTATTTATATAATTTTATGTTTTTACATAAATGTATCGTACTGAAAAATTCTATTTATATAATAGCGACTGAACTAATACGATACGCATAATGGCACATAACATATTAGTTGTATGCGCAAACACAAGATCCGCCGTATAAAAGATATGATAAGAATTAAATAAACTCTCAAAATATCAAATAAATCTTTTAATCCTGATTTATGGCGTCAACATTCACGGGGCGACAACTCTAATCTGCTCTGCGGAGAAATTTTAGATAGCGGCCCTTGTGATAAGGCTATCCTTACTCGCCGGGGATAACACCCTAACACTGGAGAAAAAAATTGAAACGGGATTTCATCCGCCGGCACGGATAAAGGTTAATGACTTGGGCGAGATAATTAGTGTCATTTTAATCTGACGGAATGTAAATAAGCACGGCTATAATCTACGCGCGGCAGCAGAAATCAGGCAGACGACGCGGCATTGTTCATCGTCTGCTCATCTTGTCAGGTGATACGACCTATTTTTAAAAAAAAATTCGAGTCATTGTTGAAAATTTCAAAAACGATTTGCACATTTTAAAATATAATTTTTACACTTTTTTTTTTAAATAGAAAGAATTCCGTATCGCGAAAAAAATAATTATTGGGGCAAAAAGCGTAGAGCGCCGGCAGAATAGAAACCCAGATAGCATCGAGAAAATGCAAATTTCGGCGTTTTGTCGAAACCCGAGACAAGAATTTTAAAAATGTTTCCTTCTTTGTCAAATTGCTATTCTGTTCGTATTATTGTAATGCCGTCGTTTCTTTGTCGTAAAAGGTTTAATATTGGGATACAAATCCTTGTAAAATGTTGATTATTGTCCTTGTAAAAGGTTTATTATTGGGATACAAATCCTTGTAAAAGGTTTAATATTGGGATACAAATCCTTGTAAAAGGTTTATTATTGGGATACAAATCCTTGTAAAATGTTGAATATTGGGATATAAATCCTTGTAAAAGGTTTATTATTGGGATACAAATCCTTGTAAAAGGTTTATTTTTGTGATACAAATCCACTTGACTGTCTTAGCATACAAGTTGTCAATAATGGCTTGATGTCAAAACTATAGAGCTTCAGCTTTAAATCCCGGCCCATCAGTCATTTAAAAAATTTACCCTAGCCCTTCACATAGTCCTTGTCTAGATACACCCTGGTTATATACATCGCCCCTTTTTAAAACATAACCTACACCATTCATAGCGCTTGTCTAAATACAACTTAGCTCCATTCATAGCCCTTGTCTAGATATACCCTAGTTATATACATCGTCCTTTTTAAAACATAACCTACACCATTCATAGCCCTTCTTAAATATAACCTAGCCCCGTTCATAGCCCTTGTCATGATATACCCTAGCTTGATACATAGTCCCTTTTTAAACAACCTACACCCTTCGCCATTCATAACCCTTGTCTAGATACACCATAGCTTGAAATATAGACTTTTTTTAAAAACATAACCTAGCCCCATTCATAGCCCTTGTCTAAATACAGCCTAGCTCTATTCGTAGCCCTTTTATAAATACGAGCCGGCCCGCGGCATAACATACGCCGCTATTTAGTTGTTTCTAATTTTCAATAATTCATAATTTGTGAATTCGACAGTACCAACGCTGACACTGAAAATATTTCTTTAAAACACTATAAGTAGCTCGTTAAGGACCATAACCCCCCCCCCCCCCTTCCTTCCCCCCCCCCCCCCCCTCCCCCCCCCTACGTTTAAAATCGTTGGCTCTGCTTGTAAACATTTAGAGTGAACACAGCTCACTAAAACCATGTAGGGGTGGGGAGGTAGGGAGAGCGTTTGCAGCTTGTTTTCTAACGGCTCGAAGAAGAGAATTATATATATAGATAATCTAGCCCCATTCATAGCCCTTTTCTAAATATAACCTAGTCCCATTCAAAACCCATGTCAAAAATCATCTACCCCATACATAGACCTCGTATAAAATCATCCACCATGTACATAGACCTTGTATAAAATTATCTACCCATACATACACCTTGTCTAAACATAACCTGGATCAATATACCTTACCTATGCCAGCCTTAAATGACCATTGCCAGAATCAGATTTGATATAGCTAATACATTGAGCCTTGCTTGACTTGGAACAATGGATGGCAAGCATTGATCCTACACAGCGATGGACTTAAACATTATGTATAAAATATAAACTGCAACACAGTCATATTTAAAATAGTGATCTACAACACAAAGTCATTTTAGGTGTTCAAAGTTTTAAAGTTAAAAACACCACTCACAAAACTTGCAGTTAGAAACACCACTCACAAAACTTGCGTTAGAAACACCACTCACAAAACTTGCGTTAGAAACACCACTCACAAAACTCACGTTAGAAGCACCACTCACAAAACTTGAGCTAGAAACACCACTCACAAAACTCACGTTAGAAACACCACTCACAAAACTCACGTTAGAAGCACCACTCACAAAACTTGCGTTAGAAACACCACTCACAAAACTCACGTTAGAAGCACCACTCACAAAACTTGAGCTAGAAACACCACTCACAAAACTCACGTTAGAAACACCACTCACAAAACTCACGTTAGAAGCACCACTCACAAAACTTGCTTTAGAAACACCACTAAAAAAACTTGCGTTAGAAACACCCCTCCCACCCAAAAATATTGACACCACAACAAAGTTCTAGCACAGCGCGCTAAAGTTTGAGAATCATCCATCAAGGGAAGCAACTAGTTTCACGCACCGGTGGAGTTATCCTTGTCCATCATGGACTTACCTGCCCTTGTCTGCCAGCGCCCGACTAACAAGAGGGGGGGGGGGTGCTCTATAGAAGGGTGTTACTGGGGGGGGGGGTTCCATGTTATGATGTGATCCTTGGGGGGGGGGGGGGGTGCTGTATGTAATGGTGTTACCTGGGGGGGGGGCTCCATGTTGGAGTGTGATACTTGGGGGGGGGGGGGTCTGCTGGATAAGCTGTGGATTAACCTACATCCAGCTGAAATCCTGAGTGTGGTCAAGTCTTACAGTTGTCATGTTGGATAACAAGACCGTGTGGACGGTCAGGTGGATTCGTGTGGACGGTCAGGTGGATTCGTGTGGACGGTCAGATGGATTCGTGTGGACGGTCAGGTGGATTCGTGTGGACGGTCAGATGGATTCGTGTGGACGGTCAGATGGATTCGTGTGGACGGTCAGATGGATTCGTGTGGACGGTCAGATGGATTCGTGTGGACGGTCAGATGGATTCGCGTGGACGGTCAGATGGATTCGTGTGGACGGTCAGAGGGATTCGTGTGGACGGTCAGATGAATTCGTGTGGACGGTCAGATGGATTGGCGTGGACGGTCAAATGGATTCGTGTGGACGGTCAGATGGATTCGTGTGGACGGTCAGATGGATTCGTGTGGACGGTCAGATGGATTCGTGTGGACGGTCAGATGGATTCGTGTGGACGGTCAGAGGGATTCGTGTGGACGGTCAGATGAATTCGTGTGGACGGTCAGATGGATTGGCGTGGACGGTCAAATGGATTTGTGTGGACGGTCAGATGGATTCGTGTGGACGGTCAGATGGATTCGTGTGGACGGTCAGATGAATTAGTGTGGACGGTCAGATGGATTCGTGTGGACGGTCAGATCTATTCGTGTGGACGGTCAGATAGATTCGTGTGGACGGTCAGATGGATTCGTGTGGACGGTCAGATGAATTCGTGTGGACGGTCAGATGGATTCGTGTGGACGGTCAGATGGATTCGTGTGGACGGTCAGATGGATTCGTGTGGACGGTCAGGTGGATTCGTGTGGACGGTCACACGAATTTGTGTGGACGGTCAGGTGGATTCGTGTGGACGGTCAGATGGATTCGTGTGGACGGTCTGGTGGATTGGTGTGGACGGTCAGGTGGATTCGTGTGGACGGTCAGATGGATTAGATAGATAAATTCAAATTCAAATTTATTCAAACAACGGTTACAATTGTAGGCACAAAGGCGTTTTTTCACATTGGCCGTTTAAACAAATAAAGCAATTCAATAACACATAGCAGTAACACATAGCACTGAAAACGTGGAATAAAGAAACAATGGTACATAGCTATCATACATAATGAGATAAAAAAGAGAATATAATAGATGAATGAGAAATGTTACAATGAGTCAGTTAGGTCATTAAATAATTTTAGTTTTAGTTTAGATTTGAATATATTTTCAGATCTAGATAGCTTTATTTTATTAGGAAGATTGTTCCACAAATTAGAACCAGAGTAGGCGAAGCTATGTTTTTGGAAAAAGGTTGAATAAGGGAATGGTAAATTAAGACGACGATTTAGTTTTATGTTAAAAGAAAATAGATCTGATAAGTAAGAGGGGGCTGTTTCGTGGAATATTTTATATAAGAAAATTGATTTAGTATATATTATCTTTTTATTTAATGGAAGTATTTTAGTAGTAAGAAAAGAATCCAGACTACTAGACAAGCCAGTAACCAGTTTTATAGCCCTTTTTTGTAAAGAAAGAAGAGGACGCTGCTTAGATATAAAGCTGCCGCTCCACACTACAGAAGCATAATCCAACCTGGATTGAATAAAAGCCTCATAAAAAACCAGCCTGCTCCTATAGTTGAGAAAGTTCTTTATCCTTGCTAATTGAAAGGTTGTTTTTAATAAGGACATTCTTAGAAAATGAATATGGTCAGACCAAGTGAGGTTGTGATCTATAAACAATCCTAGGCATTTGTAACTGTCTACCTGTTCAATGTT